ATATAACCGTCACGTCAAAGTATTGCATGTCTTTACAATAAGAGTGCGTGGAATCAATACTTATACAATGAGAATGCATAACACAGTGTTGTCACATCACACGGCACGGTCACGGTCACATGTTACCCGGTCCTAATCGGAAATCCACTATAAGGATGATATAATCGTCATGACACAGTATTGCATGTCTTTACAATAACAGCGCATGGATGATGCATAACACAGTGAAATTATCACGGCACTTGGCACAGTCACGGTACGGAAGTGATCACTATACCAATGAACAATGCTTATCCACTAAGGACACTGTAACCATCACATCACAGTATTGCACATCTTTAAAGTATGTTTTATCCAAAGTCACATAATGTGCTGTAAAGAGTGAAAGGTCGTTACCTCTTCTGGATCTGGTTCCTGTTCCCCAAACACTAGCCTGTACGCTGCTAATGGTGGAAACTCGACCTGGAAATGAAACCACAAACAAGACAACTATTAATGGACATCACAACCCCCAAAAACAATTGTTATAAATCTCTTGTTCTGATTGGTTGAGAGCATGTGCCTTATGAGAGCACACAGCACACGCACAAACTATTCTATTTCTAAAATGTTTTGGGTATATATATATTTTTTTCCTTCATCAAATATTTTGTGCACAAACCTTAGGGAACTTCTGGTCAAATGTCAAAGCTCCATTAGACTGTGCATTAGTGATAGACTTCTGTTTACTTGTCGGTGCAGACTGTCCTCGGCCACTCTGACTGCTCGAAATGTCTGTCAAACCAGATGGCTGAAAAAAGGAAAGAGCAACAAATTAATATGTTGAAGTTTTACTTTTGCTTCAGTCTATTGTGCAACACAGGGAGCCCATGTTACAGCTTTACAACTAATTTTATTGTTCCATGTCATACAGGTATCTCCTCTGATGCCATTCTCATACCGAGACCCTTGCATGTTAATTTTGGTCTCCAACAAAATGTTCTCAGCAAATCCAACTCCCAGAACATCAATATGTCGTATTAGCCAATCAGAAAAAAGAGATAGGTTCATTGGCCCCAGACTCTATTATCTCTCTCCGAGGCATTTTAGCTGACCGGACTAAGAGGAATGCAGGCTCAGGGAGCGACATTGCCCAGACCGTCTTTGCAGAAATCAAAAGGAATGCAAGCTTGGGGAACAGACGTACCGTGAATACGTTAGAGCGTGCATGCTTGCTGTTGTGCCATGATGGGCGGGCATTATCAGCAATCATCTTGTTAATGTCACTATTAGTCCATTTGTGTTGGGTCTCTTCCGTACTGGACATCAGGGTGTCACGGTGGGTTCTCTCGTACTGTAGAATATCTTCCCAACTGAGCTTTCCTATGGATGCCAGAAAAAGAAAACGTGTTCAGTAAAACCTATGTTGATATTTTGAAAAGCAAAGTAGTCGTAATAGTGTGTCTATGGGTACCTATAGCCTCCTGCACAGTTGTGCAGGCTGGCTTTCGTGACTAAGATGTTTATTCCCACAAATCCAACTACCAATCAAGCCAAAAATATAAGGGGAGGCTTGACCAAATTTTGGCTTGACTTGTAAGTACCAGCTCAGTTTACTGTGAATTGATTACTTTGATCAAATAAAACTATATATGGCTGAAGGGGATGGGGGTGGGGGTAGGGCTACAGCCCTCTCCTGGATCTGCCCTTGAAATCCAATGCCCATGACATACTAACAAAATAGAACACTGATGTTCTGGTACAACTAGTCTTTTCATTTGTATTACCTTTTTGCATGACTTCTTCCAGATTGCCCGGACATAGAATAAAGTCCCAGAAGGCTTTGATCTCAAAGACTTTCGACAGGTAGCCTTGCTTCTTGAGCTGATGCTCTAGTTTAATGATCTGATATCGAATGTAAGAATTATATAACTGGCATTAGATGTGTATATATTTAGGGAACTTTATCTTTGACAGGGTAAGGGGTGGGGTGAAATTGGGGTGGGGTGAAATTTTAGGGGGGGGGGGGGGCAAAAATTCTGGCCATTCTGTTTATAGGTTTTTTTTATAGTCACCACCACCACCATCATTTCCATCATTATCTATCATAATCATTATCATCAATCATAATCATTAATTATTATCATTATTACCATCCCCAGTCACTATCCATCACCACTACCACAACCATCATCATCATTATAACCACCACTACCACCATCATCATCACCATCATCATGACATCATCATTGTCACCACCATCATCACAGCCATCAACATCATCATCATTGGCATCATAATCACCATCCATCATCATCATCAACATCACCACCACCACCACCATCATCATCATCATCATCATCATCAAAATCAAAATCATCACCAAAATCATCATGACCATCACAAGCATTTCTCACCTTATGATAAACAGTTTCTTGTATATCTTCTTTGTAGCTCCGGTCATTCATTACTTTGGATTTAGGAAGTCTTATGACAACTTTGTGTCTATCTTTTTCCTGAAAAACAAAGGATTTTTACAAAACATGGATCAAGGTCACAACTCTTTATCACAAAAAAGTTCAAAAAAAAGTCATTCATGAAGTACCTCCTTCTCTYTTAGCCGTCTCTCTTTTTCTACTGCTTTCTTATTCCTTGTTTTGAACTCTCTGTGTTGGTTTGATACTTTTTCTTTCAAAGCTCTTTTATAAATCCTTTTGTAGTAGTCTCTGAGCAACTCAAGATCTTCGAGCATGCGATCACGTAACTATAGACATGATAAAAGTATGGGGGGAAACGTGAGTTTATAACAACAGAAACCCAAGTTCAAATGGCTTAAACCACTACCATAACATTTTTTTCATAAGGGAAAAGAAGTTATTGATGTATTATTATATCACAATTTTTGTTCCAGGAAACTTGAAACAACATACCCCTTCTCTGTATTCTCTTCTCTTTTCGTCTTTCTCATCTTCCTCATCACTGCTTATGGTTTTGTTCTTTTTAAATTTCACTTTCTTTTTCTTTTTCTCCTACAAAATATTGAACAAAATTTAAAATTTGATGAATTCCTTGTGGAATATTTATCAGCTGAATCACAAGCTTTCAATACATAAAACCTCTTAAATATAGTTTAGCTATTCCAATGTGCTATTTCCTGGGGAGGGGGGGGGGGAACTCAGAAATTTTGAAAATGACCCCTAAGGCTTGGGAACTTTTGATTTTTATCCCTAAAAGGTACCAATATTTATCTATGATATAAGTGACAGCAGATAAATAAATAAGAGCTCATTGCCTTTTATCAGCTGGTTGAGACCCATCAATTAATTCCCAAAAATGAACTTCAAATAGAATTTCCTAATAATTTTGTTTAACAGTTTTTACCTGTTCTTCAGCTATTGGTTCTTCCTCAGGTTCATACTTTTTTTGTTCGAGTGACAGTTGATGGTCGACATGATGTTTAAGCTCATCGTCTGACATGTATCCTCCAATCATGGGAATGAATGTAGAGGACATATGTTTTCTAAAGACAAAACAGAAAGTTGGTTATAATGAGAATAAAATGACAGCAGCTTCTTATCATATTTTGTTCTCCTCACCACCACCACCACCACCACCACCACCACCATCAATAACAACATCTTTATTTAGCACTCCTTAAAATAACATACATGTAACATAACTACCATCATCACCATAACGACCATCATTGCACTTTCATYATCACCATCATCATTACCATTATCTTTGTTCACCATCCCTATCACCATCATCACTATCATAATGATCGTTGTCATTTCCATCACCATTACCATCACCATCACTATCATCATCATCAACATCACCACCAATATCATCAACATATCATCATCACCATCACCAACTATACAATTATCATCATCCTCATACTAGTGTGTTTTATGAGTACAACTTACTTTAACTGTGGCTTGACTGGTCTTCTCACTGCTTCTTCAGTCTTGCCTTCCTTCTCTCCTTTTTCAACTTCCATCTCTATTTAAGTTATTACTTCAATCAGGTATAAAACTTAAAGAAAAATGTAATAAACTTTCAATAAATAAATAATATTTCTAACCTAGTCTAAATTAAGGTCTCCTAGAACAACCCTGAGTCAAAAAAAAGACTGTATTAATAATAAAGTTAAGGATTTAAATAGCCAAAAAGTTGTTGAATATTTTCACTCTTTGGAAAACAGGCTTAGTAAATTTAAGCTTATTCATCAATATTAAAATAATTATTGAGCTCATTAGCAAAGTCAAGCCATTAAAAACGTCGAAATTTTAGGTTAAATGGTTTCAAAAATATTTCTAAAATACGAGAAATATGATAAAAAGAAAATAATTTGGAAAAAAATAGTTCATTTGGCAAAGAAGCACGCTGCTCAAAGATACCTTCGAATAAAGAAGAATGAGACGCCAAAATGCCCTAAAATTCTTATCTCCTGCATTCCTGCGACGTTAAGAAAGTCTCCATTTATCAACCCATGGTAAACAGAATTAAATTTAGCTTTAAATTAAGTAAAAAAGTCGAATTTTGGGGGAGAAAAAGAAGAACTTGGAAACCAAAACACGACTGTTTACTACAAGGCGCACCAAGGGAACACGACCCATCTAAGACGATCTGTGATTGGTTCTTTAATAAACAATTGTCCAATCAAAATACTTCTTACATTTTATCAGCTGAAATTTTTTAGGTGATCTCATTGGTGCTTTGTTGTCCAATCAAAAGCTTTGGTATATCGATACTGTAAGCTTAAAGACGTGTCTCAAAATGGCGGCCGACTGAGTAAAAAGCAAAATGAAAATTTTCCTGAATGAAAAAAAAATTTTCTAATAATTTGATGGTGTTGGTGATGGGGCAGAGAGTTGATGATGGACTGTACTCCAAGCTGCCGCCTTCCAGACCACGCAACGATTATTCTATCCGCCACTACTCGTGAGGATTTACCAACGTTTCAGTCCATCGTAAAGAAAGTTTGCTCAAATCCTGCAAACTTGACTGATCGCCTTGGTCGCCATGCGATCCACGTAGCTGCCTCTTGCGGCAAGACAGACATATTAGAATGGTTGATTAAGGAGTGCAAAGTAGATATCGAGATGCGGGACTGGGAGTCGGGATGGACGCCATTGCATAGGAGCGTGTTTTATGGCAAGCTGAACTGTGCAGTGAGGCTGCTTCAGGTAATGGAACTTTGTAAAATGTTTGGAAGATCTTTTTCAGATTAATAAATTTTGATATGCACATATTTACAGTGCAACTACTATAACCGGGGCCATTTACACAGCTAACCAATCAAAATGTAGAATGAGAACGATGCATTCCGAATTAGGATGGTTGAGTCAATCAGAAACCTAGATTGCACATAAGTTGACCCTAATTTATTGTTTTCATTCTGCAATTTGATTGGTTTTTGCTTTCTAGGTGGCCCCCAGTTATAGAAATCGCACTGTAATAGCAATGACTTCTATTGTTGCATGGCTCTCCGACAACGAGTTCCAACAACTGCATATCATTAAATTTTGTGGGGTGTTCTGTAGTTGGTCCACACTATTGCCGGTTTTCACATGACGTCATCAAAACATGAAAATCTAAACTATAGATCGTATAAAGACATTTCTAAAGTATGCTTTAGAAGTCAGTTTTATAAGTCACAAGAAAAAATCTCGAGTCATTTCGATGTTTGGTTCCCGAGTTATGAAGGTTGAGTTTGTTTCACACAATACCGTCACGTCTATTTAAATAGCGATGAAAATATTAAAACAATTTACTTTAGTTGAAAGATTTTTCGTTAGACACGTTCAAAATATCTATTTAAAGTATATTTAAGTGAAATGTAGTCAAACATATTAACTATTCCATTACTTTAAGCCTTTGGAGTTTCGTGCGCCATGATGGTGTACCAACTTGGAACACCAAGATGGCCGCCCCATACATTTTAACCAAAAATTGCGTCATGTTTACTCGCCTATAGTTCCGTAACGAAATGCTTTACAGCCTTAAAATTTGGCCAGTATATGTAGTTTGGACCGCTTTACAAGAATATAAAACTTCTATTTCATTATAGTGCGAATTTACGCTTTTGAAATTTATGATGAAGTAGGTGAAAACCAAGAATTGATGGGTTGCAAGCATTCTTAAGAGAGTCAAAAGACAAAAACATGGCAGCCATTGTGGTGTCGTTTGCAATAAATGCTAATGGAAATATCTTGTTAAATGGCACCAACATGGCCGTGATGATGTAACTTGCAATCAAAGAATATGAGGTTAGCTTATCATAGAGTAGCTAGGTGATATAGAGTATGAGAATCAAGGATGATGTAGCAGTAGAGTGTGGTATTGAGGAAGAGAGAAAAGCAATGCATCACTTTTAGCTGTCAAACACTTTATTTAAGATGGCAGATCTTATGCATGCATGCTAAATAATGACACTGTCATGCACAGTACTCGTCTTTCACTTATGGGTTCTTCCGTTTGAGTCCAATACTCAGCATCACAGGATGTGATTAGAGGTTGTTAGGTCTCTCCCTTGATTCAAGGCTTTTCCTCTGAGTTTCTCTCTGGTTTTCCTCTCTCCACAAAACCTAAACATGTTAATGCCAATTTGATTTTACTTTGACCCTGATCACCCCAGAGAATGTTTCAGGGTATAGATAAAATTTGAAAGTTTTTTATATACTGTTTTTTATAGCATGGTGCTGTTCTTTATAATATCGACAAAGATGACCTTACACCACTGGACTTAGTCATGCTGGACAGCCCATTCAAGCTATCTATATCAGGTATAGGATATACACGTAGCCTTCTACATAGGTTTTCTTAAGGCCGGTTTAAGTGGTACGATTTTCGCCTACGACTATCGTATACAACACGCTCGCGCCATCCTACAACTCGAGTTGTAGCTTGTAAATCAAGCCTACAACTCGCCTACGACAGACGATACGATAGTTGTAGGCGAAAATCATAACATCTAAACCGGCCTTTAGGGTTGAAATGTCGTCATGCAACATATGGGGGGTCTGAGAAATGTTGCATGACGACACTCTGTGCAGGATGCTAGGTAGGATGATAATGATGGTACCATTATGATTTTCATACCACCAAATCCTTAAAATAATTTAATATCAAACCTTTGGGAAAAGCTGGCCGGAGATCGATTCTAAGTTAATGCTTAAGGATTGACATGTTTAGTTGCATTTGACTTTTGAAATTTCTGATTTCCGACTATGACCTTTAATTAAGTTTCTTGTGAAGTGTGATCGTCAAGGTGGTGACTGATGTTTCGACAACCTGAGTGGAAGTCATCTTCAGAGTCCAGTGAGAAAATGAAAGACAGTTGATGGTATAACAATTAATTTTCATAGTATTTTTTTTAGTGAAATTATTTTGTTTTTATGTATTAGTTGAAGGAAAAGTAACATCAAACTATGAGACCAAACTGAGTGATGAGTTATCTCTTCATGTTGGTGACGTCGTCACTGATATTCACGTGACCCGGTCTGATTATTGGACGGGTAACTTGAATGGTGTCCAAGGATTCTTTCCTAAAAGATGTGTACAGCTTACTAAACAAGGTACTGTAAAATACAAGTAATGAATATTTCCTTGAGCTTTTAGGTACATATTAATTTTATCAAAGACATATATAAATACATACATATACCTCTTTTAGACTATAGGACTGATTTGTATACCTGGGGTGCAAATACAAATTTTACTCTTGGGCATCAAGACGAAAGTTTGAGGCAAAACCCTGAACTGGTTGAGACTTTGAGCAATGACAAATCCACCAGCATCAAACAGGTAGGAATACAAGATGGGAGAATTAGATGGAGAATTAGATGGGATGGAATGGGTGAAAAGAAGAAAAGATGAATTGGTGTATTTGATGGATAAGATGGATGGATGGATTTGATAGATGGATGGGTGGGTGAGTGGGTGGGTGGGTGGATTGAGGGAGGGAGGAATAGTATGATAAAGAAATGATGGATAGATGGATGGATGGATTTGATAGATGGATGGGTGGGTGGGTGGGTGGATGGATTGAGGGAGGGAGAAAGGGATAGAAGGATAAAGGAATTATGGACAGATGGATGGAATGGGTAGATTGACATATAGATAAAAAATGTTGGTCAATAAATGGGTGGATGAATGAATGAATGGGAGGGCAGGAGAAATGTAAATGAGACAGATAGAAAGATAAATGTATAAAAATAAAATACAAATCAAATCAAAATTAATTTAAGAGACAAAAATGAACCATGTTTATTCAGGTTGTGATGTGCAAGTTTCATTCTGTTTTCCTGACTCAAGATGGAAGACTGTATACTTGTGGTCATGGAAGAGGAGGGAGACTGGGACACGGGGATGAACAGACACAGCTGGTAAGATAGTATAAGGGCACAGACACTCGATATGTAACATTGCGCACAACATTGCAGGCAATGCTGTTGAAGTAGGATAGTATTCTACTTCAGCAACATTGGGTGCAACAAATTGCGTCATGTGTCATGGCTCGCAAAGTTAATTGCATGCAACATTGCGCGCAATGTTGCACCATGTGTCCGTAGCTCTGGATGCATAAAAACAGTAGTCCCTTTTACAGATCCCTGTGCCATCTTGAAAGGTAACCATGCCTTTGCATTGAAGTGAGACCAACGGTGAGCTTGCAATTATAGAGACCATTTTTTAAGACCTTGGGCAATTATTCATGTCTTTAACATATTTGCAAACTCACCGTTCCTCTTGCTTCGGTGCCATAGCAGTTGTGAGTAGAGTTTTTTAGGTCTCTCGCTGGATTCAATATTTTTTTCTCCGGTCTTTGCTGTTTTCAACCCTCCTCAAAACCCAACACGCAAAATTCAAAATGCTTTTGTAGCACTAAACATGTTATATCCTTCTTCAAGGCTCCGAAGTTAGTAAAAAGTCTTAAAGAACACACGTGTACCTCAGCTGCTGCAGCTCAGGATCACACAGTCGTTGTTACAGACAGGTATTCATTTTTGTTACTGATAATCCATTAACAATCCCTTGATACGACAAGTGAGTGAGGACATTGATCATGAGGATCAAACTATATATATACTGGTATATTTTAGCTCTACTTGCTATATAATAAGCCATATTGTTTATTTCAATGTTTCCTTGTTGCATTATTTTTCAGTGGTTCAGTGTTTACATTTGGATTAAACGACATGCATCAACTAGGCCATACTCCAGCTCCTTCTCAGTGTCTTGTCCCTTCAAAGGTAAAAACTGTATAGGGATGAAATGGTTAATCAATATACGATGTGTAGTTTCAGAAATTATCCACTCTCCCCCCCCACCCCACCCCTCATGAAGGAATTTTTTAAAGTCATCCCCTACCCCTGCAAATTCCAATTTTCTTCCATATGAACTCTGTAGTTTTGTTCTTTGTCTGCCCCCCCCCCCTTCACCCCCACACCTCGGAAATTCCAAATTCCTTTATGGGGGAGGGGGTATGGTTAATTTCTGGAACTACAGAAAGCTTTCACGTTATGGCAAGCTATGAAAATCCCCATTTGTCGCTTGTATTTTCTTGTAAGCTGGAATTACGAGTGACTCATAGAATACTTCAAGGTATGCCTTTCAAAACCTCAGTATAACTAGTATGTATCTTTTTAGATACAAATGAAGACTTGGAAAGGGAAGCATATGATTGGTGTAGCAGCAGGGCGATACCACACGGTATTCTACACCCATAATGAAGTGTATACTTGCGGTCTTAACATTGGACAACTGGGTAAGACATCAATATATACACCATTTAAATCAAATACAAAAGTGTTCTGTTGTTTCCTAATTAGGTGTTTTCTATTTGAAGGTCATCTTAAAGGAGAAAAATTCCTCACTAGTCCAAGACAGGTAAAGATGGGGAAGGTCTGAAGAACATCAATACAAATGTAACTCCCCAACAGCAGGGGATTGGAATTTCCAAGGGGTGGGGAGGGTCTGAGGAGGGTATATCGTGTAGTTCCAGAAAATAGTGACCTTTAGATACGACGACGAGTACGAGATCGAGTACGAGTACGAGTTTTAAAATTGGACCTGTGCACGTGGTTAACGCCAAATCGTAGTCGATTTCCGATTTTTACAATCTAAAGTTTCAATCGACGTACACCAACACGACTACGAAAAGATAGTGCCTCTCTTTAAAAGTTAAACACTCATACTTGTTCTCGTACTCGTACTCGTCGTCGGATCTAAAGGTCTCTAATATCCATACCTCCCCCACAGAGGGGGACTGGAATTTCCAAGGGGTGGGGAGGGTCTGAGGAGGGTATATTGTGTATTTACAGAAAATACCCATACCTCCCCCACAGGGGGGAACTGGAGGGCGACTAGATTTTCCAAGGGGTGGGGAGGGTACATTTTGTAGTTCCAAAAAATACTCATATCTGTCATGATTGTGCAGGTAACAGCTCTTCATCACAAGGACATCACCATCTCCATGGTAACATGCAGTGATGCAGCAGCAGTGTGTGCGACAGGCAAAGGGGACATATTTGTACTCAATCAGTATTCCTGTCAAAAGATTGTCAGTAGGTAAGAAAATGTGCTCAATCTATAATTTTTTAGATAATTATTACTGTGGTGTTCAATATTCTGCAAACTCAGACATTTCAAGATTTGACTATAATTAAGTGTCACCTTCTCTTTGAAGACTAAATAAAGTTAATGATTCATGGTTATTCATGTTTTAGATTTTTTTATGTCCATAGATTCCCTGAGCTTACTAAGGTGTTGGTGGCTGGCGTAGATGTTGATCTGAACTCAAACTATGAAGCTGCGAAAGTCCAAGACCATGTTACACTCACATTACTGAATGCAAAAGGACTGGTTAGTGTTTTTGTTGGTGAATAACATTGCATTAAATTTACTGTACAAAAAAAAAAAAAAAAACTCCAAGAATCCTATCATTAATAATAATAAAAGACCTTTGCAGCACAACATGTGAGTAGAGTTTGTTAGGTCTTTCTCTTGATTTATCAAGGGTTTTTCTCTGGGTTCCTAAATTCAGGCTAAATTCAATCAATTTGATCTTTGAGTTAGCAGTGCCCTGATTTATTTTATCTCCAAGGTAGTTTCAGGCTTCAATCTGTGAGTTACCCATGCCCTGATTTAGATCAGAACAGAGGTTGTTTCAGGGTTTGATCTGTGAGTTAGCCATGCCCTGATTTAGATCAGAACAGAGGTTGTTTCAGGGTTCAATCTAAAAGTTACCCATGCCCTGACTTAAATCAGCCCAGAGGTTGTTTCAGGGTTCAATCTGTGAGTTAGCCATGCCCTGACTTAGATCAGCCAAGTGTTTTTTTCAGGTTATSAATAAATATAAACATTTCAAATTTCAATTTTTTTTCTCAGGTTTATCAGTGGAAAGAGAGCTATGGAGGGATGCGAAGGTGCAAATGGTTGTTGAGGAAGGAACTTCTTGGTAAGATTACTTGATTGTGATCATCGTTGTATATGGTGTAGATAATTTTAAATCTCTTTTCTATGACAGTCGCTGATGTTGCAGTTGGAAAACAGCTTTACATCATCACAGGTATGTGGAGAATCTACTCATTGAGGTTTCTTCTGTCTGTCCATTTGTCTTTTCGTCTGTGTGTCTGTCTCTGCATTTCTGTCTGTCTGTCTTTGTTTGTCTGTCTTTGTTTATCTATCTATTTATATGTCTGTCTGTCTGTTTGTCTGTCTGTCTGTCTTTGCATTTCTGTCTGTCTGTCTTTGTTTGTCTGTCTTTGTTTGTCTGTCTTTGTTTATCTATCTATTTATATGTCTGTCTGTCTTTTCTTCTGTCTGTCTGTCTGTTCGTCTGTGTGTCTGTCTTTGCATTTCTGTCTGTCAGTCTTTGTTTGTCTGTCCGTCCTTTTATCCATCTGTCTGTCTGTTTGTGACACATATTTAAATGAGTTTTTCTGTGGCACAGAGAAGATTATTGATTTCCAGTTCAGAACAGTTAATCGACCAATTGTAGTATACTACTTCGACAACCACACACACCATAAATTAGCTCTTTCTCTTATAATTAATTTAGTTTCAACTTTCTTTTCATTATTCATTAACATTACTCCTGTGAATCAATAAAATGTTAAAATGTTCAAAAATCTTAATCAGCAGCCTTTTGTATTATTTTCTACATCAGATCGAGGAGAGATGTTCACTTGTACCAATGCAGGTGGTGGTCACCCTGTGGTAAGACCTGCACGCTCTTCACCATCTCCTTCCCCATACAGGCCGTTTGGAGGCTGGGACCAAAAGGAAGTCATAAACTATAACGTCACTAGATGCCCCATGGTGCATCGGGGCATTAAAGTTTTTACTGATGGGAAGTCCAAGGGATTTGCTGTACTCCAAGTTGACCCGTCTACAGGGTAATGACCAAAACCATATTCACGTCAGTATTTTTTAAAAATTTCAACCATTTAAGACCACATGACATAGGTTTGCTTTAGTTGTATCCATATTCATGTGTCTTCTCATGTGCACCTGTTACCGTCGTTTGCATTACTACACAGTCACCCCAGACACAAATCGAGTCATGTAGTTTGCAATGGACTTCTGTCAATCATTCATGTTGACGCCATTTATACACGTTTGGATCAGTGAGTTGGCTTTTCTATCAAACTTTCTCAGTCAGATATCATGAAGGAAAGTTCCAAAAGCTATTGCAATAMGTTTGAGTACATCCAAGTAGAATGAGGTGCTTGATTGACGGCAGTCTTTTGCAAACTACATGACACGATTTGTGTCTGGGGTGGCCACATAGTAATGCAAACGGCGGTAAACAAAGAAGTGATACTCTAGGGAATGACACACTGTCTAAAAACCTATAAACGTCTATTGCTTATTCCATAACAGGCTTGTGAAACGACCAACTATACGTAACTCAACAATGGTCGATGACTTCGTTCATTTCTTAGATGAGACAATGGTTGAAGATGATATTCATGATGTGAACCTTGTAGTAAGTAGTTTCAAACTGCTACTCCCACACCCAAACCCTATGAATTTCTTTTCTTTTCCTTTCTTTTGACCCATTTTGTTGTTGAAAGATCAGTTTAAATTGACTTCTTATCTTGGGCAATTTTTTTCCATTTCTGACCATGTGTCATTCCCTAAAGTATAATTTCTTTGTTTAATGGTTGTGCATTAGAAGACAGATGAATATGAATACAACTCAAACAAAGAATCTTATTCTCAAGAGAATGACACATGGTCTGAAATGGGCAAAACATTATAACGTAAAAAGTTTTATTTTGATTGATCATTTATTGATTTTAACTCTTTCTGTTGCATCTAAGGTCAAGGGACGTGTTTTCCCCGCTCATGCTTTCATTCTCGCATCAAGAAGCCCAACATTTCGTAAACTTCTACTAGAAGAACACAAAAAAATGTCTCATTCAGAGAATGTAGCCATAATGACTGTGAAACTAGATAATGTTGAGGACTGCTCTGTAGTAACCAAGTATCTTCAGGTGAGTTGAAGAGTTTATAATCATTATAATAATAACAATAATAAACTCTTTATTTAAAGAGGGTAGCACGGAATAGTTACAAAATAACTAATAAACTGGTGGCCCTCATTATCATCATTATTATCATTATCATCATCACCATAATCATCATCACCCTCATCATCATCACCATCATCACCAGTATCGCCAACATATCATCTGCACAATAGATTATCATCATCATTACCATCATTATTATCATCATAATCATCATTATCATCAGCAGCAGCATCATAATCATTACCATCATAATCATTACCATCATCAATATTACCATCATCACCATCATTATCATGATCACCATCACCACCAATATCATCATCACCATCATCATCATCACCATCATCACCATCATCATCATCACCATCATCACCATCATCATCATCACCATCATCATCATCACCATCATCATCACCATCATCATCATCACCATCATCATATGGGTGGTGTAGTGGTAAGAGTGATTATCTTGTTTACAGAGTTGCTTGTTGGTTCTCTCCTTTGCTACTGGGATTTTCCTATTTCCACTATTCCTCCGTTTACAAAAGTGAGCTTCTAAGTAAAGAAAAGCGCCAAATAAATGAGATGTTTTTCTGCTTAACAGGATTTGTATAGTGGTCTTCAGGTGAACGATGCCATTCTTTTTGGCTCGAAAATTAACAACAAACCAACGAAAAAGACTCCCAAAGCCAAGGAAGTGAAGGTCTCTAATGGGCTGGACGAAGGGACTGAAGATTTGAGCTTATTAAACTTACTTGTTCAGAATTACGAGGAATTTACCATGGTAGATTTAGACGACTTCTCAGCTCTTTCATTTTTGGATAAAGAAAAAGAAAATGATGTTGTGGAAGATGTTAGTGACCCTATGGAAAGTGCCAAAAAGAAGCCAAAAAGTACTGCAAAAACTGATATGAAAACACAACCTAATACTAAACATAAAAGGTATTCAACATTGCTAAAATGCCGTTTGCAAACTACTTCTATCCTCCAACATGAGCAGCAGTAAGGGGGACTCGCGGTC